TTATAATATAAACTTTTATTTATTCACGCTTTTATTATTTCTATTTAAAATTTTACTTAAACTAAAATTTCTAAAATTTCCATAATGTTGTTAAACTAATTGTTGTTTTGTTTACTGATCGATCATATGCTCATTAACATACTGATTTGTTTGTTTTGATTTCTTTACTTTATCTTATGCATGAGAACCAATGAATGAGTATAAGAGTTTTGTCTGAGCTAAATGTGGTCAGGGTTTGGAAATTATATTTTTTTTTATAAATCCTAAATAACTCAAACAGTGGGCAAAATAACTTCTTTTACTATAATATTAGTTAAAATTTAAAAAATTTTAAATGTTTACAGTATATTAAAAAGCCAATATAAGCTTATAGTCATTTAATATTTCGTTTGGTACAGTATTACCATCAGTCTGCCGGAAGACTGAAGAATCGATTGGCATGATTGATGTCAGTCTTTGATCAAGTGGCAACTTGATAAAACTTGACAATTTATTAACATTTTATTGACATTTTATGTCAAATTGTTCTAAATTTGGTGGTCAACAGGTTTCTTTGATTGAAGAAAATCTCTAAAAGATCCTTTTCCTGTGGGTCTTTGACATAGAAACATCAAATCATTAAATCGTCTTGGCAGAAATCTTATAAAATATTTGTAATCCATTTAAATCATTTCTAAAGGTGTGCCTAATTTATTAAATATATATGAAAACTACTTGCAAACAGGTAAATTTTAACAAATTTCCAATTTATGAAAAGAAAAGTTTTGTAAATAAATTCAAATTTATCAGGAAAAGAAGATTGGCCATCAATTTAACCTTACCCGTTTAGATATCAACTCCACAAAATTTCCATCCATTTACTGTGAGATTGAACCAGAAGGCAAATATTTATTTTCTAAATTCATTGGTAATATACTGTTTAAAAGGTAATCGGAGTTCCTTGCTAAAATCTCATTAAATCCAATTCCAAACTCTACCTAATACTCTTTTTTTATTCCTTAACAAGTTTTACTTGAATTTGTTAGAACACACTCCCAAACCTGGCGAGGGAATCCTCTTCCAGGGGATTCCTTTGATGAGTCATCACTCTGATCAATTGTTGGAGATTGCGCAGTAGACCACCTTCTCTTTTCGTATAACCTCAACAACATCATGCATCTCTAAATCATCATCAAAATAACAACAACAACATTAAAAAAAAAAAAACACCACCATAAGTAGCTCAAATACTCATAATATATACATAGTTCTCTTTTTAAACAAAAAAATAACAAATTCCAATCGAACCAAAATTAAGAACAAAAGTGCAAACAAAATGTTAAAGAATTAAACAAAACAGTGTTTCCCAACCATATGAATTTCCCTCAAAAAAATCCGTGATTCCCAAACTACGAAGATAACTTAAATGTTTCTCTAAAAGTTGTAAAATATGTCGAATCTTTATAGAAAAATGAAAACAAAATCATAAATTAATTAACAAAACCTCTAGAATGTTGAAAATGTAAGAAAACGTGAAAATTAAAGTAATTGCAAGTAATTATATTTAGAATGCGTTAATGAATGAAAAGAAAATCAAAACAATCGCAAAGATCGAAATAATTGTGTACCCTATATTCGGTATTAGTCGCCGTGCTGATCATACAAACTAATAAAACATGTTTTTTTTAAATGCTTAAACTAAAATTTTCTAAATGAACAATTTAACTTAAATACTAATATCAAAACTTTGATCTTAAAGCTAATATCACAGAAAACAAATGTTTAAAAGTTAAAATGTGTAAAAATTTTAAATTATAATAATTACTATCACAGAATACAAAGTACAATCTGTTGAAAGTTAACACATATTTGGAAAAAATTAAAATGGTATAAATTATAACAAAAAATGTAAAAATCTAAACACAGTTAAAAGAGTTGAAAGTTATCATATTTCAAAGTAATCCTAATATCACAGAATAATATCACAGTTTACGGAAACAACTTTAAATATTTTGAAGTATTAGACTTGTTAAAAGAAAAGTTGAATGTTTAACAACTATTGAGTATGTTTAAAAGTTGAAAGAACCTAAACTGTAAAATTTCACATTTTGTTATAATTTTTTTTTTTTAAATCCATTAAATTTTTCCAAAATTTGTTAAAATATTTAGTATTCCCCATTTGCAAAATTGTATTAAAAATGTAAATTTATTAATATGTTTTCAAAGATAAAAGTTTAAATATCTTATATAAAATTTTTTTTCCCAAATTAACAACAAAACGAAAACTAAATACCAGATTGAAATTAAAATATAAAATGTTTTGACAATCAATCAAATATTAAAAATTTTAAAATCAAATACGTGTATAAATATCAAAACAAAACCCAAAGCCTATGTGATGCAAGAAAATTTACAAATTTTATTAATATTTTCCCAAAATCAAAACAGCATGCAACCCGTTCTTGGAGAAGGCCTTCTGCAGAATGATTGGTGAGTGAAAACAAAAACCTTTTTTGTTATCTTATTTTGTTATTTTCTTGCATTCTTACTATACAAGCAAACAAACAACCAAACATTAAAAATGTATTAAAGATCGATCGAACATGTAACTTTAGATATCAATCATGTTGTAACCTAGTTTCATGATTTACAACCTCAATATCAAGAGAGTCAAACTTGTGTTGACCTATATTTGTATGCAACATAAATTACATATTCACACAAACCTATGATACATGATCAGCTGTTCGAACCAAAGTTCAATGAACTTTAATAGATTTTGATTTTGTTTCTTTGTTTGCTTTCTTTCATAAAAAAATTCACAATGGGTCAAATTACTATTTAATAATAACTTTTTTTGTGAATATTTATATCATAAAGAAATTGCTTTTTGTTAATATCTGAAAACTAAATCTTCACTATAATAAAATTATTCAATCGAAAATTTCAATTTGTTAAAATTCTTTTTATTATATAGTTAATTTTTTTCTCAACACTGTTGAAATATTTTAATTAAATCAATTGTTCTAATACTTTTTTTAAAATCCTTTTAAATTCAAAATTTTCGTTTATTAATATAAAACTAAATTTTTTTACATAAATATTTTATACGATGTTAACATTTACATTAATTGTTCTAAATTTCCATAATTTTTTTGTATATTTTATTATGAATGTTTGAAAACATATATATTTCGTAAGATTACACCTAAATTGTATAATTAGTTAATAATGCTTACCTTAAATTTTTCTAAAATAAACCATTTGAATATGTATGAGTAAAATTGAATCTTATTGAGCTAATGTGAGAAAATGTAAATACAAATTTTGTTAGGGGTTCTAGAAATTTTATATATATGCCACTAGAACTACGGTTGGTGAGGGTTTAGAGGCATTTGCATCCAATATCATCAGGATTGCAAAAAAATTTGGCAATAATACTGGAAAATCAACAATAGTTTCGAGTAGCTTTCAACCATAACTAGATTGGGGCTTTGTTTTTTTTTTCTTTTTATATAGTTATTTGTTCTTTTGTTAATCTAATGATCAGTAATTTAGTTTATTTCCGGCAGTCTATAATAAAAGAGCATGTAATAAACATTGGAAGCTGATGAAATAGGACACGAACTCCCCCACCCGACTCCTAGCTAGCAAATCAATGGCTCCCAACGTCCTGTTCCTTTTGCTTTCATCGACCAGAAATCATAATATCGAACAGACTAATGAATGTAGAGCATTGCTTAAAATTTTGATATTTTATTTATGATTTCTTGGGTTTGGTTCTATAAATTTTGCTATAAGTTTACATTTTATAAATTTATATTACTTGTTTAGAACTAAACATGTGAAAATTAAATCTTGTTTCAAGATTTAACGAACGTGCACATAACATAAAATGGCGACCAACGTGGGGCCCGAATTAATAGCTCTGTTCTTTCTGGCTCAAATATTTTGTTTTCAATTATTTAGATTTCAATTTGAATATAAATCTAAAAAGTTTCGTTTCATTATTGAACTTGATAAAGAATTACTATTGAAACCTTACTGGATATTTAGCGAATTGAGGTCTCAAAGGTTCGATTATGCTAACCGTTTGGCATAAATAGTTCTTTCTTTATCATGTTCAGGGTGGTACGCAGCATTTTAGTTTTATATAGCTCGATAATAGTTCAATGTGTTTTAGTATTTATAATCCGATTTATAGCACATATTTTGGTCAAAGGAACTCATAAATTTGCTGCTTGCAGATAAGATTGTATGTTGCTAGTGGTGTAAATTCTATAAACATATTTAGCTAATATAAAGCTTTTATTGCCTAATTTAGTATTTATTTTAACTTTCTCACATTAAAACATGTAGAAGACCATAATATATTCAGCATTTTGATTAATTTTGATTTGGAAACCGAGTCATTTCTAGTTGAATCTTTTGTTTTAAAAAACATTTTGATTTTTTTTCTAAATATTTTAGTTTTAATTTGAAATACTTTCAGCAGTTCGAATTGTTGTTATTTATTTTCTTATATTCGTTTAAACTATTCATTAATTGAATTTATTATTTTGAAAACCTTAATTTAACTTTCTTCTATATAGCAAATCCTTATAATATTTGACTTTGTAATTTTAATTATTTTCGTACAATATTCTTTTTTTTTTGAATTTCACTTATGTTTTTTTAAATAGCAAATCTAAATTTGTAGGATAATATTTTTTTTCGAAACTATATGATTCTCTGGCAAAGCAACTAATAGACAAACCTCTGTTGAATATAAATAATAATCCAAATTTTTATTTTTGTTTCCAAATTTTAATTCCATCTAACACTTATTGAGTCAATAGATTCAGTCTTTAATAAGATTAGATATATTTAGCTCAAATTTTTGTGGGAAAATTATACATAGAAATTATACCCTATTTTATTACTTTTTCAAGTCAACATAAGTGTTTCATTAACGTACAGATTTTCAAAATTGCCCCTTTACTTATTTCCAATTACATAGTTTTGATTTCATATTTTTCATTATGGCAACCGATACAAATTCCCCCCCTGGTCCAATACCACCACCTTTGCCTACGGCACCAGTTTTCATAGAACCATCAGTTTGCCAACTTTGCAAAAAATCTATGGAAGAAGGACAAGAATATTTGATTTTAAACCAATGCAGTCATGCTTTTCACAGTTTGTGTATTGAAACCCATTTATCAACATCTTCCGAATGTCCTACATGCCATCGTAACTGTCTACTGTCAGAATTGAGAAAACTGGTAATCCAACCAAAGGGTTCGTTACCAAGACCGTCTGGTACCAAACCGAGAGGTGCAATGGCACGCCATTACCAAACTAGAAGTGTCAGTAGAAATTTAGGACAGGACAACAATGACTCTAATCCGAATGCATATTGTACTGATCAACCAGTTAGAACTCCAGAAGCCAATAATGTAAATGTTGCAATTGAAAATTCGGCTCAACAAAGTAGTAATTCAGCGAATGTTAGCAATAATGGTATAGACTATAGTGAACTCAATCGTCTTATCGAACAAAATATTACTCGGCTGCTAACAAATATGAATATACATAATACCGAATACAAACCCAGATTTGTCACAACACCATA